ATGGACAAGATGAACATAGTCAAAGAAATGGAATTGGCACAGGAGAAGGAGATTGAAGTCTCCATTCCTCCTCATCAAAAACTCCAACTGGAGCAAGAGCTCCCTCGTTTACCCTGTATCCAGTCATGGTTGACTTTATGGCATATGTCTTCATTTCCGCATCCGTATTAGTTTCTTTTTTGTATTCCTCTAAAATCATATTCATGGTATCCGATCCGCTCTCACCGCCCATGTTGTTGCTACTCTGGTTTACCGTTATTTCTGTTAAACAGCTCCTTCGTCTACCGCATTTCCTGTTTGTCGTATTCCCTTTCTTTGGTAATCATATTTATGGTATGATGTACTCCTCTGATCTTAATAGTCTCATTCAAATTTCATTTCATAAACCTAGCTTTTATGGGGCTTTAGTACCTATGGGATTACTTAGGGGGTACTAGACTAAAATGGTCCGTATAGATGGAATTCTTCCAGCGCTGACCAAGCGAGGGATTGATTCCAGCTACAAAATCCAGCTCGCTCCACCACCCCTAATGAATTTATAAGATCCAGCCCAGCTACCGCTAATTTCTTTATTTAAAATCAAAGAAAAGACTAAAACAAAACGTAAGACCCAAAGAATGGTTTCACATTTGATTTTGATACTTTTTTTAGGGGAGAGTCATTATACGTTATATATGAGAGGCTAATCACTAAAGTGAGTATACTAGCGTAGCTCTTTCTCTTCTGTAGCAGCTCTTCGGTGAATCTGTCGTACTCTATCGCTTCCTTTCTTTTCAATCAGTATGCGCTCTTCTGATCTGTAGCAAGGGTCTATCCAATATTGGCCGATTGGATTTAGTAAGAGGGCTTTTGTTAAAGCAATCGAATAGGAAGTAGTTCACCTGTCAAAAGTCTCTAAAAATGGCTTTATGTGGGACTAAGGACTTGAATGAGACTTTAGAGAGGAGTCATGCTAGCGAAATAGGCAAGAAGGGAGGAGTGGTGAACAGCTGGTAACGGCTGCCGGATAGGCGGAAGCACTAAGCCTGGAATCACTTTCGATAGCAAAAAAAAGTGAAAAAGTTCTGATATCTGATTCTGATATAGGAGCCCTATCAAGTCAAGAAGGAAGATACTCAAAAAGGCTTTATAGCTACATTTATGTTTCAGTATGCTAGACCCTCCTCTAGTTCAAGAGCTCCAGATACTAGCTCTGCTCTAGTTGCTTTTCTATGTTGAGTGAATCGCTATGGAAATGAAATAGAAGAAGTGACAAATGCCTAACAACCGATGAGGGGCTAAGGAATGGCAACCTCTGTGAGCTACCTCCGGACCCTGGGAAGAGTCCCGGACCATGGAAGCGATCAAAGGAAGACGGTAATCAACCACTGTCCTTTTGTGATGTTCTCATGCAAGTACAGCACAAGGGCTCATGCTATCTTGAGATCTCGGAACCGGAGTCTGAAAGCTTTGAATCAGACGAGTGGGAAGAAGATGAGCAGCAGATCCATAACCAGGGCCCTTCGAATTGTCCCCCTGTGATCAACATGAATGGGGAAACTAAAAGGAGAATTTCTCAATGATCCAATTTTGAAAATGTGGAGACCAAATGGGGAGATTGACTTCATTGACCTGGGCCGTAGAAAGAGAACCCGGCCACCTATTTCATTCGACGTTCTGGGGCGGGGGCCCGCCCGATTCGACCGACTTTTGGATAACAAGAAGGCGAGCTTATCTGCTTTGATCAAATAAAAAGCCCAGTCAGCCACCAACTCGGTGCAGGTCACGTGACCTACAGCTCGGCCTTCGCTTTTTGAGGCTTCCTCTACCCACATTTCTATATGCCCGCAGCACTTCCATATGGAGAAAGATAGGCTTACCATGTTCCATCAATAGCACCTAACCTATGCCGATTTTGGCGGACCGTGCTCCACCCCGGTGAACTCATGCGGTTCCAACGTGCCCAGAGGCCAGAGGCGAATCCGTTCACGGTCCGTAGGACCAACACCATTCGAAGGTGGGTGGCCCGCCCCGCCTAGAACAGTCATGTTTGACTGGGCTTACACACATTCGATCACTTACGCTGTCCCCCCTCAGCTCACCCTAGCCCCGGGCCTTTTGCTCTTCTAACGTAAGCTCCAAGGCTTCACACCAAGTCTTCACTGACATAATATGCATGCTTAAGTAGGGTCAGGCAGAACCGTTGTTGCCTGATGGGAACTTCCCCCATATTGCTATCAATGTCTTCATGTCGCACGACCTCTTAACATTACACCACTGAATCCCCAATCTTTCTGATGTGACACAATTTTGATCCTTCCCTATGAAGCTTTTTTCTTTTCCCACTCATCTCCAATAAAAAAAAAAAAAGTCATGACTTCAAAGAGTCCTGGCTCAATCTTCTTCCATGGCATGAGTCAGCCAAGAGATATCCAAATAGCCTATTCATGGCCCTTTTTTTTTTTTCTTTCAACGGTTTGGGGTGTTTGGACTTGTTTATGTGTAGCTCGACTAATCTTCTTTTTGGTGCGGTCAAAGACAAATCATCCATGTTAGGATTATGATATTTATTATAGATAAATAAGTCTTAGCTTGACCCCAAGTATTTATCAAAATTCGACCTCAGGACGTTTGAGTTTACAACTATTCACATCCTAGATGTCGAAGGTCTGGCCCAAGAGGTTACAACTATTCATGGCCCTTTCATTTCATATCATATTGCCCTACGGGTCGGAAAAAATATTAACTTAACCGTTGCTGACATGGGCAGAGCCACACCCCTCAATTTTTTTTTTGCAAAAAAATTATATGTATGTCTGTATTGATATATTTTAATCTCTATACAAATATTTTTTCTTGTGTACACCCCATAATTTCTTTACCTCAATTGTTTAGTTTTTTTTTTTTTTATTATCTTAAGGCTTTGCATAGGTAGCCTTAATATTCTTATTTATTATTTTAGATTTTATTTTCTTAATTTGAAAGTGGGGTAGTTGCAATTCGTGAGACCGGAACTTGTAAATGCATAACATTTTATAAATATTAGAGGTTGATGTATAATTTATGATAATTAATTTGGGGGTTAAATTATAGTAATTAGAATTATGGGTGTTGGGTTATATATATTTTTTTAAAATAGTAACCCTGGGGGTTGATTTATTTGATGACGGAGTGTTTTGAGTTAAATTATTTAATGATAAAAAAAGATTTTGGGTGTAATTTATAAGTGATTATAATTTTTGTGGATGTTATAAGAAGGAGGGGAAACAAAGCTGGTCTAAGTAAAATTTAGGGAATTTTGGGTGTGTAAAAAAAGACACCGGTCACTTTTTGGCCAACTTTTGCCTAATATATATATACTAAATAATGCCCATGCTCGAAGGTACTACGTTATAAAAAAAAAAATACCTCAATTCAAAAAATGGGAATTCATTGAAAACACTCACAGTGCCTAAAATAGGACTGGTAATAGAGAGATATGCCGCTTCAAGTTTGTTTCAAAAACTCCTTAACTCTAAAACTATTTGGTTAATAATGTCAAATAACTCGAGTGTATAATCTGGCGTATTCGAGTTGATATAACCCACTACCAACTCTTTTAGTACAGTCTTGTTTGGATTGACATGACTGACACAACGCAATTACTTAACCTGTTTCTCTAATCTAAACCTATTTAACCCAAATAAATTCCTATTTTTAATCTAAATTTTCCTTTCATGAGAATTATTAAATGAAAGTAAAATATGGACTACGTTTTGAAAAAAGAAAAGTAAACTCAACCCAGCAAATATATATGAAAAAAAAGATAAGAAAATCAAATTCTATTATCCTAAGTATCTCTCTTAGCACAACGAACCCAAGAAGTCAAACAAAAAGATAATCCAAGAATACCCCAAATTAATCCACATTCCCAATCAATCAAAAACTAACTCAGCAATCTCCGAACATCCATACTTCACACATACTTATTGATGTTGCAGTATCCATAGATACAATATCATAGAGAAGGTTGTAAGAAAAAGAATATAATACCTATCACAAAAATGCAAGGTATAAACTAATCAGAAAATTCCTATTGATCCAAAGTTCAACCACGCTCAAAATCTGAAGATTCAAACCTAAAATAATGCTTCCAGCATTCTTGTTAAAGAACATATATTAGCTTTCATGAAGATAGTACCATCTGGTGGCCTCATACTGAAAACACCGAAAAGAAATTCCCATATGCCTTAACAGCTTCCTCGCCAACATAGGCCTCGACTTCCCTCCACTCTAGGAAGTACCGTACTTTAGAGACACTACCATAGACTTGAACAACGTACTTTGTAGCTTCCCCTTAGCGCTTACCCACCAAAATTGCCAACAACAATCACCACTAAGTAGAAGCTTCATAAACACAAATTCATCATTAGAATTAATCTCATTTATCTTAACATAATGTGAAACCCAAGATAATTTTTGTGTATAACACCTACTCACCAATTGCCTGTGCATTTCATTAAGAAAAATGGTATCTGCAGAATTCCAAAAGATGTTTAGCATTTTAACTCTCTGAAAAATACAATGAATTAGCAAAAAAAAAAATAACTTCAAGCAATCATTGTTGAATTTGGTTAACAAATTCAGATGCAGAAATTGATGAAAGGTATCATCATTATCAATTGAAGCATGAATAATAAGAAGCCAAAAAAAAAAAAAATTTGAATTGAATGAATCACATAAATGACATAAAAAAGGGGGTGGATGGAATTAACCACGGGATAGATTAATATTGCAGACATGCTCTTAAAAATACTCTGCGACATGACAAAAAAAAATCCGAACTTTCATATCTCTTTGAGAAATTTTGTTGAACATGTGAGGTGCGCAATAGAGTATGTCAAGAGAAATAATCAGACCATAGCATATATCACCCTACATAACAGTAATCTCATTCAAAAGAGAACTAAACCATAAAACAGTGTGTGTGTGGGTTTGCATACAGAAAGTAGGTGTGGGGTGTGTAACAAAACATAAACCCATAAATTTTAAAAAAAAGGTATGCTTAAGATTCAATGTTATATCTATCAAACCCATCCAGACATACCGATTACAAATAACCATAGAGTAGGGAAAACATAATTACCTGTAAAGGGATATAGTCGAAGTTGTTCAAGCTGAATTACAACGACCACCGAGAATTATTAAAACTGAATCACATTGTCCAATAGAGTTCCCATGCCTGCATACGCACAGCTATACCCCTAGTGGCAATGCCCTTTCAATTGCAATTAAAAACCACCCATTAGCACAAATCTTCAAAATACCCAAAAGTAAACACACCCCAAAAAACATCAAGAGCTTGAAGAACTTACATATGTCTTACTTGTTTCAATCTACTAGCCAAGTGTATTTTGGTTTAAATACAACTACACACACGTAATTCAAATGCATATAGCCCAGTTGGTGCATTTTTTATGGCAAATAACAAACCAAGTAACTATATAAAATTCATATTGCAATTAAAGAAAATGTAATTACTACAAAAAAAAGTCGCGATTAAAGTATTTGAAATTGCCTAGAAAAAATCACCCAAACATGGGTAAAGTATAACACACACCATTAATTAGAAAACAATACACGATTTTGAGAGCTAAAGTTGGGAAAATTACACAATTCCCAAAAGCAATTATATTACACTATCTAAATTAGCTCAATGAAATTTTTACCTTCCGAGAAGTTTCTCCATCCTCATCCATCGATTGATATTTAGCCTACGATCTATTATTCCAGTTTTGATCAAATCAATAGCTGAAACAATTGACACTAAAGTAAACTCTGACATCAACTTTCTTGTGGCACTTAATGGGGGACGTACATACGCTGAGATGGGGGAGGTACATAGGACTGTGTCTTTTTTGTGGCATTTGGTCGAACAGCTGGCGAACCTAATGCAGAGAGTTCATACTGGGGACAGTGATTATTGGTGTGGCCGCTGATGGCTCTCCATGGTGGTGGGTCAATGTGTTCGGGGGTTGTGTTGGGTATCATAGTGGTGGCGTGGACTGTAGGTTGTGGAGCTGTGGCTTGGTAGGCCGTGGTAGGCAGAGGAAGAGAGTGAGAGTTGGAAGTGGGGGTCCAGAAGGAAAAGGGCAGCGGTGATAGTGGGTAGTATTGAATAGAAAGAGGGATAGAATATAGTCATCTGGAGAGTGGCAACGAGGGGAGAGATCCAAAATTTGGGATGGTGGTTCCCTGGTGGTGTGCACTACAACGATTAAGAACAATGGACAAAATTACTTATACTTGAGACATGGATGGTTTTGAAGGACAATGACGGGACCGAGAAGCTAAGAACAATGCCAAGATTTTGGCCACACGTGTCAATCCTGATCATGGAAAGTCTTTCAAAGGAGTTGTTGGCCGAGGAAGAATGGTCTAGAAACTCATCGATCATAAGAAACCACTAGACAAAACATTTGGCTTGGCAACTCATCAAATAGTTGGTGTGCACGGCAACATTTTGAAAATGTCATCATCAAAAAAAATAAAAACAGATACAAACAGGCACCCCAGATCCCACTGGACAAAACATTTGGCTTGG